GTAAAAAAAAAATAAAGGAACCCCTCCGAGTCCCTCTCTTGTAAACTTAGCACCCAAGGAAACAGCAGGTTGGGGCTCTGTCCCGCACCCTTCCCCTCGCAACCCGCTCAAACCCCGGCGAGCTCCATCCCAGCAACACAGTTTCCAAAATAAGAAACTCTGCTCTTCAGCAATTAACGCCGGGGCTGTGGTTACACTGCTAAAAGTGTTTTTTCCGTGCATGACCAAGGATGGAAAAAGTTGTGGTTAATAAATGACAAATAACCTTTTGTCTCGTTGCCCTCCCCTTGCGTGCCCTCACCCTGCGATACCAAAAAAAAAACAACACCAAACCAGAGAGGGGGGGATAAAAAAAAATATAGAAAGTCACTATCAAAAAATCTCAAAAAGCCGAAAGGATGCCCAGCCCCGCGCGCCTTCGAAGAACAGCGAGCGGCCCAGCGCCCAAAGCGAAGCAGCGAGGGGATGCGCCACCCACCCTGCTAGGCGGTGAAAGTCTGCGGGCGGGGTTCGCTGCAGCTCCGGGCGCCTTCGGGTGTGCTTTCACCTCTCCTGAGGGAATCGCAGTAAAGCCAAACCCCTCCAGCTCTCACCTCACAGCGTTTTTCCCAGCTCCTGCCCTGGGGATGCCAGGAGAAAGATGCCAGGAGAGGGACGGGGTGCTTGGGGATGCAGGGAGAAGGATGCAACCTCAGGTGATGCCGGGAGAGGGATGCAACCCCTGGAGATGCCACAAAAAAGATGCCAGGAGAGGGATGAAGTCCCCATGGATGCCGGGAGCAGGATGCCAAGAGAGGGATGCGGTCCCTGGAGATGCCAGGAGAGGGATGCTGTTCCTGCGGGTACGGGGAGAAGGATGCACCTCTCTGGCCACATGCTGTCCAGCTGCCCAGGGACGATGCAACAGGGTCCCTCTTGGCTGGAGGATCAAGGCAGCAACAGGCATTGTTTAACAATTTTACTACAATAAGGAGAGGAAAATAACACGTGGTGGGAACCGACTCGCCCCTGGGCAAACCACGGGGACAAGGACAGGAGCACACGTGGTCATCCGCTCCGGATCGCAGGATGGAGGACACCAAATGGGATCCAGGTTGACCCAAAAATGTTTTTCCTCAGGCCAGGGCGATGAGAGGACAGGGAGATGCTGCCCTTCCTCATGGGGCTGCCGGAGCCCGCGGGCAGTGGGTGCCCCTGGGAGGAAAAGACCATTTGGTCGCAGGTCATTAATAAGAGGAAATGCGCTTTGGATTCGAAGCAAAGCGAAAGAGAGGGGGTTGTGCAAGTCCCCACCTGGGATCGGGAGGAAGAAAAAGCTGCTGCTGGGGTCAAGGCTTCCCAAAATGTGGCCTCTCCATCCCTGCGGGCAGGAACTGCCGCAGCTCTCCCCGCCCCCACCACTGGCTCTTAGATCTTTGGTTGAATCACTTTTAAAAAAAAACACTTTTGAGCAGCCCCAATTACTCCTGGAGGTATAAAGCAGCTCCAGGAGGAGCCGAGATGGGGACCAGAATGCTGGGATGGGGACTAGAATGCCAGGATGCCTCCCCACCCCATCCCCAGGCACTGAAAATCAGAGCGCGGCAGCACAGGACCTGCTTGCTCAGGAGGTGGCACTTCTCAGAAACCAGCTTCAGGTGAAAGGAAGGGGGAAAAAGAAAGAAAGAAAAAAAAAAGAAAGAAAGAAAAAAAAAGAAAGGAAGTCAAAGCAGTCTCACGCTGAGCAGAGATAAAAATACTGCTCCTCCCGTGGCCACGGCTGAAGATGTACGAGCCGTGACACAGGCACCGTGGGTTTTCAGCGGAAGGACTCTTCCTGGCTTGTCTCGGCGTGCCATCGATTTACGGGATGCGCTGGATTTCATTAAAATGCCATAAAGAACCCAGCGCAAATGCAAATCCCATTTCCCTTCCCCTTCCTGTAAAAACATCTGGTCAACAGAAACGGCTCAGGACGTTTCCGTTGCAAATCACGGTTTTCACGGAGTTTTAGGACTTGGCCGCAGCAACAGGCACGTGGGGCTGGGGCTCAGCTCAGGAACAGGGCAGCCTCGAAACCCCACAGGGCTGCCCTAAAATGTGCAACGCTAAGATTTATGAAAGTGGAAAGGCCTCAGAGACACCCAACCCTACCAGAATAAACGGCACGGCAGAGGAGAAAGCCCTTAGTGTCTCCACAGAAAGCAGGGAGGACTGGAGAGCATCACTACACCTCAGAGAATCCACCCAGGCTGCAAGCCTAGGACCATACTGAAGCTTTTTCTGATTTTCCTGTGCATAGAGATATATATACAGAGAGATATATATATATACACCCCCATATGTATGGGCATTATGGATGCCCTGCCATCTCCCAGCTCCAGGTTCTCTGCACAGCAGGACAGCCCCAGCAGCCTCACAGCATCATCACCTCACCCACGACACCCTCACATCCCCTCCTCTCCCAAGCACCCTCTGGCATGGCCCCAGGGTGAGGGTCTGGGTGCCCCCCTACCCTGCACTGAATGCCCTGAGCCCAGCGGTTCCCCACTCCGGGGAGAGCTCCTCACCCCCTCATCTCCAAATCTCTCCTTCGCAACATCTGTTTTCCCAGCGCTCGAGGGAGGAAGGAGCGATGCCAAAACCTGTGAGCACGGGAAGTCCCGTCTCATCCGGGTGAAGCTCCCAAGAAACCGGCAAATCATAGAATCATTAAAGCTGGAAAAGACCTCTAAGAACATCAAGTCCAACCACCAACACCACCGTGACCACTGAACCACGTCCCAAAGTGCCACATCTACATATTTTTTTTGAATGCTTCCAGGGATGGCGACTCCACCACTTCCCTGGGCAGCCCTTTCCAGTTCTTCAGGGCTCTTTCGGTAATTTTTCCTAATATCTAATCTAAATCCTTATGGAATGGGATGTTTACGTCGGGCAGCGCCGCAGGGACCGCCGGTGGCTCCGGCACGGCATCATCCCTGCGCCCGGTGCAGAGCACGCCACAACCACCCAAGCACTAAATGGGATTAAGGCTCTTCAAAGCGTCCCACTCCCTTTGATGCCCGGCACATTACGGGATTACGCCAAGAGGCCCCGTTGGAGCTCGCCGGGGGGAAAATAAGACAAAACCTGCCAAAAGAGGAGCGGTTGACCAGTAGTCGAGCCGCATTGGGGCACACATGGGGCTGCCTCAAGGGACACCCTCTCTTTCCAAGGTCATGGAAAGGTGCTGAGTATCGGGGGCTTGGCTTGCTGATGTAAAGCCAGGAGGTTGGGCTTAGTCTCCATTTACATCATTATTATTTAACGGGCAGAAAGGGAGAAGAGGAGGACACTTCTGAGGAGTCCAAAGACCAGCCGGGGATGAAAGCCCCCAAGGACTTGTCTTTACAGTCTCTGATTTACAACCGTTCATCTTTCATGATGATCAGAAGCATCTTCAAATCAGGAAAAGATCCACGACACGGCTCAAAGGCAGCGGCAAAGCCCCCTGAGCATCCCAGGGCTGAGGGATGGAGGGGAAGGGGTTCCCACAGCCTTCCCCGGGGAGTTATCGGTGATTATTTAGTTATGCTAAAGGAAAGATGAATAAATAACAAGTAGCTGTTCTGTTCCTACCACTCTGGGGTTTGCCCCCGTGCTGGGTTTGGGAGGTGGGACCCACCAGCACCAGGGGGGACTTTCCACCACTCTCGGAATTCAACCACAGTTACTTGGAAAAGGGGCTGGATTGATTCTGTAAAGAAGCCAGGATCTGGCCCCAGCCCAGATAATTAGAAAGGAAGGACCCGCCCTGAGAATATTTGCACAGGAAGCAATTTAATCCGGAGACTCGCGAAATCCAGCAAGGAACTTCCCCCCCCCTTCTGCGGATCTGGCTGAGAAACTCCCCTGCTTGGGGTCCCCAGGGTCCCCGACTTCATGGTGATGGGGACTCACTGGGAAATGCCCACGGGATATGGAGATCTGTTGCAAAGAATACCGCCGGGTGAATTTGCTAAATGCCTTTTGCCCCTGGGTCAAAGTCGGTCAGCAGCTGCGGGGAGAGGAAGAATCTGCTGAACGCTGGGCTTGCTTCCCAACGGGAAGGAGGGGGTGAAAAAAAAAATAAAGAAAAAAAAGAATAAAGAAAAAAATAAAAGGGAAAAAGCAGTGTTTGCAAAAGCAACAGGTCCTGGGGGCAGGTGGGGACCTGAGCGGGTGCTTGTCCTGGGGGATAATGGTGCATGCGGCGCGATGCTCTGCGCCCTGTGTCGTGCCCAAAAGCCTTTGCCAGGGGAGAAGTTTTGGCCAAAAAGACAGCCAAGATCTGCTGGGTCACCGAGGCTTCTCCCTGGCACGGAGGTGGCCAAACCCATTGGGGCCAGGAGAAGATAGGTGCAGGGGCTCGGTGCCCGAGCGGTGGTGGGTGTGGGTGGGTGCCTGTGGAGGAGGATGCTCAGCCCCCGATGCCAAAGCCCCTCCATGCCAGGGGGGAACCACCCCCACCCCGGGAGGGCACACCCTCACTTCAGTTTTATTTTTGGCTCTCGCAAAGCGCCCAGGGCAGGTCTGGGCAACAGCCACCAAGGATGAGGAGGAGTGAAGCCGGCTGCAAATTTGGCAGCAATGCCTGAAAGGGCATTACCCAAAGGACCCCCC